ACCCCCAGCCCTAGTCAAAGCTTACTTGGCTTACTAGGTGGGAATGGGACGGCTCTTAGCTAAGGACCCTTGCAAGAGACCCACGTCTCTCCCAGGACTGTGCAGATGCTGTGTGTGCCGCTCTACCATTAGAGGTGTGTGCAGTGGGCCTGACCCTCTTTCCCCAGCTTCCAGTGCCCATGGCTGTGCTATTTCTGCTGTCCAAGGAGCGGCTGCTGACCTGCCCCCAGAGGACACCCCTGCTCCTGTCTGCAGATGAGCTCGCCCTGGAGACACAGCCTCCTGAGAAGGAGGATGTCTCCTCACTGCCCCCAAAGTTTCAGCAACACCCAGGTAGGAGCTCTGATGAACTTTCATGATCCTGTACAGCCTCAGGTTGAGGCTTCCCTGGTGACCCCTTCCCTAGAGAGGATGCCCCTAGATAACAGGTGATAATGGCTAGGGAAGCACCTTGTCCCTGAAGGTGTCACGAGGCAGGAGATGAAGCAACCATCTTGGCTAAGAGAATGAGGAAAGCGAACTTCTGGCTCCCACCTGCTTTCTGCCCAGCCCTGACTGGTTGCCTTGGGCAAGTTACATGACCTCTGAGCCTTGGTTTCACCAGGACTGGGAGATGGACAGGGGCTGTTCCTAACAGAAAGCTAGAGAAGGCAGAGGCAGGAAGTGGCCCCCTCATGCCAGGGCTCTCTGGGCTGCCAGCCATGTCCCCAGGGCATGTAGAGGGAGGGGAACGAAACTGAGACTCACCCCTGTTCTTCCTGTGCCACCCCTAGGACACGAGGACCTGTTCAGCTGCTGCCAGAGGAAGAACTTCAGAGGAGCCCCTTATTCCTTTTTTGCCATCCATATCACTGCTGCTCTGGTCCTGTTCATGACGGATGGGTTGACGGTGAGCCCGCTTCAAAGTGTGCCCCAAGCCTGGGGCTGGCAAGAGAAAGAGGGGAGCATCAGGGCAATTCAAAATTTAATCTAAAGTCCCAGGGTAGACTGTCTCCAGGATCATCCCAGCCAACTGTTTTTATTTCTGTTAATACTATAGATAGGGGTTTATTTGCGGGTCATTACCAAGTGCAGGCTACTCACATGTTTTTGAAAGAGTGGTGCCTGTTCTTCCAATTAGAGGTCATACCATACAGACTCTAGGATACTTTGCTTCCTGGAATAAATTATAAACCTGGGCTTCTCAAGCCAATGTCATAAACAAGCTACAGGCAGAATTTAGGCCCAGCTGTTCATTCTACTAGTGACTTCTGTTACACTACTTAGTGTCTTATTCCAGAAACCTGTCAAGATTAGGTTAAGACAGCCTTGAGAGCCAAATTAACTG